GTCTGCTCGACATAGTCATCCCACTCCATGACGGGAAGCTGGTCGAGGGGAGTACCCCAGTCGAGCTTGGCACGCTTCTGGTCGATCTTCTTCTGCAGCTGCTGAACGCGGCCCTTCTCGATCTCGTTGGAGCGGAACTGCTTCAAGTCATAGGCGAGACCGAGCTGCTTCCACGACCAGATAGTCCACTTGGTGGGGTCGTACTGGTGCCACTCGATGGCGTTGCGGTAATCCGAGGGGAACTCGTGGTGGAAGTTGTGGTATCCCTCGCCGAGAGTGACCAGGGCGGTGATGATGTGATCACGAGGAGAGTTGCGGTCGTCGAAGGGCTGGTCGCCGAGCCAGTGGGCCAGCGAGTTGACGCAGAAAGTAGCCTGTTGAACGAAGAAGATACGCAGGATACCCGCGTACACGAATCCGCCGTACCAGTCACCCCAGCCGAGACCGGCAACGAGCATAGGAACGATGAGACCCATGCCGAGCACGACCTTGATGTAGTTGCGGTGCTGCCAGACGACAACAGGATCTTCGTTCAGATCGGTGATGTCGGTGCGGCCAATACGCTTGGGGTTCTGCTTCATGACCATCCATCCCAGGTGAGAGTACAACAAACCCTTGCGGACGGAATAAGGGTCCTTGTCGGTGTCGGTGTAACGGTGGTGAGCACGGTGGTCACGAGCCCACCAGCGGATGGAGCCTTCGACGGCACCGCCGCCGACCAGAGCGAGCCAGATACGCAGAGGCAAAGTGGCGGAATAAGAGCAGTGAGCCCAGAGACGATGATATCCTGAATAATTGAGTCAGCTCATGTTCGGTATTCAGTTCACATATAGAACTACTTACCAGCTGTGATGCCCAGTCCAGTGAAGAAATAGTAGATGACTGCCCAGATGGCAGTCTTCAACTGCAGAGGCACCCAGAAAGCCTGGATACAGCCGGAGATGGGAACGCCGATGATGAAGGCGACATTCAGCCAGTTGACGTGCTTGTACCAGTTCTGGCGAGTCATCTGGGTATCGGCAATGTGCACCTTCTTGGTGTCAGCCGCCCGAGGGCGTGAAGCATCGGGCTTGGACGACATGATGAGGATGTGGTAGAAGGGAACTTCAATCCAGGAGGACCAAAGGGTTTTTTATACTTGGGCCCACTTGGGACCAACGTTGGGGAGCCGGGGCACTGATCGCCAACGTAGATGGGGTAAATAGGGCTAAAAGACGAATCAAATGAAAGCAAAGATTGAGCGTCACAAGATCCCGAGGCGAAAAAGAACAGAAGAAGGGAAGAATTGGCCTTATAGGCTTGTGCAAGTCGACTTTTGTGCTGTCCTTTGATCGGGAGTGGCGTGCCTCATCGCTTTCTGGCGAATGTTGGGTCCAGCCAGCCCCAACGCTTTGGTGCCTCAGGCAGTCATTGACCAATCAGCGTTTGATGGCAAATATGCTTAGGTCATCATTTATCCCAGCACTGGGGTTCCACGGGTGGAGGTTAGTTCCATCGAGGGATATATTGAACCTCGGGATTTCTAGGGATAAGTTCTGTTTGATCCAATCATCTTTCACAGGAAAGGAGGCAATGAATATGCTGTACAGAGAGTGGTTGACACCCCTAGCGTTCCTTACAGGATGCATTTCCCGACCTAACATTGGCCCGAGCCCCGCCCCTTCCGTGAATGGTCGAGAAAACTGGACATACAAGTGAAGTCATCGCATCAAGTACGGAGTACGGTGTACTCTCATATGGAATGTGCGAGATACTGAAGCGAATCTTATCGAATCACCGAGACTTCCAAGGTTCATTCTTGGAAAACCGTCATATCCTCGATACTAAGCAGATCATGATTCAACCTAGGAACCCGTGCCCAAGAAAGAACGAACATCACAATGAAGGATATCGAATCCAGATTCAAGTCATAAGTCAAGAAATGAGAATTGATGATCCACCATGGACATTGAGTTCAATGAAGACAAATGAACATTTGAATGGCAGTGAGGATAGGGAACATACTTTTCTGAAACGGGGGATTTCCGAGCTCCAAAGCATACGTTAGCTCCCGCTCAACCACCTAAAGTTGTACGCGGAGGTGTGACTACTTGAACGAGTCGAGACAATCACAACATCTGATTCTATACGATCGTCACGAATATCCCTATCAGCAGTCTGATAACGATGAACCTTGACGGAGTGAACCTTGAGACCGGAGTCTTCCACATCTCTGTCCACGGCACCCTCCGACTGTCAGATCTCAGATAAACCCGAAGATAGCGAGACCATTCGTCAAGTGGAGAGCTAACTTGTAAGCTTTCGGGATGTACGGAGTACATACTTTGTACCTAGGAGACTGCCGGTATACTCCTTCACCAATGAGGTGTCTTATATTGACTCCATTATCCCTGTGTATCCATCTGGATACATCTGGATACACAACTCTGACAATATCGAAACACATTATATGGGGGAACTCGGGAACTCTCCAGTTAAACAGAACTCCCCCCGACCTTATCTATTCTCCACTTAAGATGCCCCATTATTGGCCAAACTCTCAACGCCAGATAACGCGGGGAATCTAACTGAATAGAGTCAAGCGGCCAACACGTTATGCGATGCTCTTGCTAATCGCCCCCATTTGCACTTGCTAATGGCCTGTCTATTTGTCCGATAACAGAATTTTTGCATATCACTCCCACACAGGTGGAGTCTCCCTGTTTTTAGTCATCCCGTTTGACCTCCAGGGCTCGAATTTTAGAGTTACCGAATATCGGGGGTTTTTTTTTTTTTTTTTTAAATATAAACCAACGTCCTGTGTTGAATCTCTAGTATATTCATTATAACATTCAATATGGACGGTCCAGACCAGATCGGCCCCGATCGTACGCCCAAGCGCACAATTGGCGACAAAGTGCGATACACTATTAAGACTTTTACTACACGGTATGGCTTCAAAATAAATAAATATAACTCATGGGCTCTGACTCACAATCAACAGAGAAGGTCTACTAGGTGACTACGACTATGGATACCTCTTCATCCCACGACTACCATTCACAAAGCGAGCTCGCAAATCCGCTCCGTTCTTCGGTCTCGAAGACCGCGTCCCAGTCGTTCTCGCATTGATTCTGGGGTTGCAACATGCGCTTGCAATGTTGGCTGGTGGTGAGTAACAGAGATACCCAACGAATATACAAGCAAAATCTAAAGAATATCAGTGATTTCACCACCCATTTTGCTCGGCGGCTCAGGCGGTGCCCACTTCGGTGATGAGCTCTACCAGTACCTGGTTTCGACTTCATTGATCGTGTCGGGCCTGCTGAGTGCCATTCAAATGTTCCGGTTACATATTAAGGGAACAAAATATTATATCGGAACTGGACTACTGTCAGTCGTTGGTAAGAACTTCCCCATTCCTCAGAAACCCCGCCTCGGATGCTAATTGGTTCAAACAGGTACATCTTTCTCAACAATCACAGTTGCTCAAGGCGCCTTCTCCCAAATGTATAAATCGGGCTACTGTCCCACTCTCGAAGATGGAACACAGCTCCCTTGTCCAAAAGGCTATGGCGCTCTCCTCGGCACCTCATGTCTCTGCTCCCTCCTCGAAATTGGCATGTCCTTTATGAGCAGCAAGATCCTCGCCCGCGTCTTCCCCCCACTCGTCACCGGCCCAACAGTTCTTCTGATCGGTGCCTCACTCATCAAGTCCGCGATGCAGGACTGGGCCGGTGGCGCATCCTGTGGGTTTGACCCTTCCGCCCGCGCAATGTGTCCTAGTGCCAGCGCCCCGCACCCTCTACCCTGGGGAAGCCCCGAGTTCATTGGACTGGGTTTCCTGGTCTTTGTGACTATCATCATCTGCGAGCGCTGGGGTCCTCCTATCCTCAAGAGTTGCTCCGTCATTGTTGGCCTGTTGGTTGGCTCGATCGTCGCTGCCGCGTGCAACTACTTCGATAATTCCGGTATCACTGCTGCACCGGTGGCTTCTTTCCCTTGGGTCCACACCTTCCCACTGTCGGTGTACCCCCCGCTCATCCTGCCGTTGCTCGCGCTATACATCGTTATTATGATGGAGTCGATTGGTGATATCACCGCGACCTGTGATGTCTCCCGCCTCCAGGTTGAGGGGGATACCTTCGATTCCCGAATCCAAGGTGGTGTCTTGGGTAACGGCATTACTTGTCTCTTGGCCGGATTGATGACCATTAGCCCTATGTCCGTCTTCGCGCAGAACAACGGTGTGATTGCGCTGACGAAATGTGCTAACCGCACCGCCGGCTACTGCTGCTGCTTATTCCTGGTTATTATGGGCATTTTCTCCAAGTTCGCCGCTGCGCTGGTTGCAATCCCCAGCCCCGTCCTCGGTGGTATGACCGCTTTCCTCTTCAGTTCGGTGGCAGTCAGTGGTCTGCGCATCATTGGGTCTGTCGACCCCACCCGTCGCAACCGGTTCATCCTCACAGCTAGTTTCTCCATTGGAATGGGTGTCACACTCCTGCCAGAATGGTTTAGCTACTTCTTCACCTACAAGGGTGACAACCATGCCCTCGAAGGCTTGATCAATGCTGTCGATCTGGTCATGGAGAATGGCTTTGCTATCTGTGCGCTTCTCGGCATCTTCCTCAACCTCTTCATTCCTGACGAGCCTGATGATGTTCCTGCCATCTTTGAGTCGACTGACTCGGATGATGGCCGTGATGGCCGTGTACAAATCAATATTCCCGAGCAGTCGGAGCCTATCAAGACTGCCTGATCTTGGGTGTATAGTTCTGTTATATATGGAGTTTGTGTGGGGCTAGCTTTGCCCTTAGCGTTGTTTTTAATACCTATATTGCAATTTTATGTTGATATTCCCGGATCTTTTTTCTGCACTCTACAAATGAGGTCCAGCAGCCCCTCGGTGGATCTCACAGTGGGAACCATCATGAATAATAATAACAGCGAACAAGCTATGATTCCTTCTCAACTCGGCTCATCCTCTTGTAGTCTTTTACCCTCTCCTCTCTGCAATGTCAAAAGGAAACCCGCGATTGAACAACCGGACGAGGCTGCTCATTAACACTAGCCGCTGTACTATGCTCATTCCCAAACTTCAAGCAATCCCTCTCCAACTCCCCAATATCACAATGCACAAACCCTTCGTCAACAAGTATCCGCAGCACAGTAAGTATCCACACCCGACACGTAATCCCCGGAATCGAATTAAGGGACTCATCATAGCTCCTCATAATTTCATCCACACGCTCGTGCGCCAATGGAGGAATTGTTGCGATCTGAATTATCACGCATAGGAAATTCTCTGCGAAGATCCCGTTTGTAGCCTCGTGTCCGACAATCCACCCGCCGCCGATGCCTCGCACATGGTACTTGGTTCCTCCTGCTGTGGAGCTAATGCCTTTGTGGAGGTAGAAGGCCCAGTGGAAGTCGGTTGGGAGTGGTGGGTCGGAGCGGGTATAGAGGCTGATGTGGAGGGTGTTTGGGGGGAGTCCTGCGAGGCTTTCGGCTTGTTTCTTTTTGATCTCTGCGGACTTTTGTCTTGCTTCGATACGAGAGGTGGGATCGGTCATTTTGACAAATAATGGAGAGAATTCATAAGATAAATGGATACAAGAGGGATGAGATGGAGGGGCGACTGCCAAGGATCGACAACAAAGCTTCGAATATTATATGACAGGGATGATGGTTGTTACGGTGGCTACCACAAACAACTACTGAAGAGAAATGTATGTAGTATAGAGCTAATCTCTAGAGTGTTCTAGATACACGTTTGCATCCATCAACTTCACAATTACTAGTGCGAGGTACCGGAAGACCTGAGGCAAGGACTTTATTCCTCCTATCATGCAGCTACTATATATTAGCATAGTCTCAACAAGGTGAATATTAGCCTCTTACTAGCTTCTGCTGATTCAAATCAATACAATCGTTAATCGACTTGGGTAGATAGACAAGACCCCTCGGTACCAATTTGAAACCATGCTTCTCCTTCATTTCCTTCAAAGCAATCGGCCGCCGGAGCTCACAGACAGTGACCATGTTGTAGGAAAAATCATAGCCATCCCAGTCTTTGTGTCTATTGTTAAATTCGGCATTACCCAACCCGTTTTCTTCTAATGGAGGATCGCCGGAATTCCGCGTCCGCGCAGATAGTGTTTCGCAGACATGCGTGGTACTAGAGTGTGGAGCAGTTCGATAGAACCAGATTCGTTTCACGCTAGGTCTCAGGCAATATTTTCGAAATTCGTAGTTCTTCCTTCCATCGATGATTCGGGTCATATACGGGTCTTGCATTGGTAGGATAATGTCGCTGTGAGAAGGGCATATGGCCCTAGTCTTCGCATGGGACATGAGGGAACTGTGGATAATGTAGGATGTGAGATTGAAGTAGGCGGAATGACAAGCAGGGAGAAATTTGTAGGCCTTATGCGATTTCCCGTGTTTAGTGACTATATACCAGATGTATCTGGTCGGGCCGGTTAACTATTCACCGAAATATGCAAGCCAAGTGACCCTCAAAGTCGGCAATATCCCTCCCAAGGACACTTGACCTAGGGAACAATCCACGGTAAGTATTTGCTGTGGCTTTCAAATCTCATAGATTTGCATATCTGATGCTGTTGGTAGTTCCATTTCCACCTTGATATTCTCTACAACTCTGATTTGATTACTTCGGACACTCTCTTGAAATGAAATATTAGCTGATACCTCGTTGCATCATGCCCGATTTCACATGGCCAGACAATGTCCGACCAGTCTTAAGTGACCAAATACCATCGACTCCTTGGCCAACGCACCCACGACTGCGTCAACTTTGGGGGGTTTCCCAGTTCCAAGGGTGATTTGCTATGGCGACCATCCCGATACACCCCATGCACCTGTCTCTATTCTTATGACTCGCGTGCCTGGCGAAGAATTAGGTCGGGTCTACGAGACACTTAGCGACGTGGATAAAAATTCGATTCTAGAGGAGCTCAAAAGCTATCTAGAGATTATCCGAGCTTGGTCAAGTTCATGGGGTGGGCAAAGAATTTGCTCTCCTCAAGGCACCTCAATAAGGAGTGTCCGGGTCCCTAATCATTTTGCCGGTCCATTTGAGTCGGAGGTAGACCTCGATGAGTACCTTATACGGCCCGCTTGGTCGGGTGGTATCTCATCGGATACGGCATACAACGATGCACTCAACCGCGCCAAAATGATAAGAAGCTTGTCTCACCATGTTGTCTTTACCCACGGAGATCTAAGACACCATAAAATTATGATATAAGGGGGTAATATCACCGGATTTTTTGATTGGGAGTTCACTACTGCATTGAGGTTCACATAGAAAGACTTTCGGTGGTATAATTTTGTGATAAAACTCGGTGGAGGCTCGTATGTGGCGGAGCTGGATTGTGAGAGCGCCTTGATTTCTCTGACCAGCGCTTCTTGTTATTGGTAGGCAATGATAGAAGTATTAAGGCTGTCGATGCCTGAAGGATAGGGAACTCTTATAACTAACTAGTTAGTTAGAGGCTTTATAATTCGGCTGGTCCTCCAGAGCTAACACATGGCTCTTGTAGTTCTGTCCAAGCACACAAAAAGTAGAGCATCTCATGGCTGATCTACCCATTAGAGATTCATGATAGTAGTAGCACCTTCCAAGGTTGGTGTCCAAATCAAGAAACATTGGTGCCTGAAATTTCCCCAGCTTTTGCCTGAAGATCATGGCAGATTTATTTTTAGTTAATTGATCTACAATTCTCTATAATGTACTCCGTACTGATGATGCACACACTACTATTGTAACTTGTCTACACACCCTCAACCTTCTCCCCAGGAGCCAGCATCTTAATATACTGGTGCACCCCAGTCTCAAGTACCTCAACAGAATCCCCAACCCTGACCATAAACTCCTCCTTCGCAGGAACAAGCTGCATCCCCAAACATGCATTAGTCCGATCTCCATCATCAACCCGCCGATACGATTTCAGCGTCCGATCCGGCTCCGCCATATGTCTATCCCCTGAAAGAGGATCAACATTGGGCAGTCGGCACCGAACAGTCCGACAAGAAGCGTGGATCTCCGTGCCACCAATGGAAAGCCGTTTCCAATGATCTTCCTCAAAAGCAGATGGGCCTTGGATGATGATGTTCGCGCGGAAGCGGCGGATGCTCAGTTGTGGGATTGCATAGGCGCAGCGGGCTGCTACGTCCCGGTGACTGGAGATGCTGAGAAGATGGATTGGATACGCATCAGCGAAAGCTGTGTTTGGTTGGAAGCCAAGGTCTTCTTTGCGCGGTGCGTTGCGGAAGATCTGCCGCGAATGGGGTGCACTGGCGCGGAAGAGAGTCAGGGTGTCTTTTGATGGGTCGGACCCTAGATATGCGTGTAGTGATGCTGGGAGAAGTCTGCCGTAGTCATGGGCTAGAGGTTTGTCTTTCCAGATCTTAACTGGGACCAGTGGGAACTTGGAGTCCGCGGGTGGAAGTAACGGGACTTGGAATGTCTGCTGGCTTTTAAGGAACTTGAGTGCCATGCCGACCTTGATAGGTAGACCCTTCCATCCTGGTGGCGACATTCGTGGATACGATATCAGCATCACACCCTGCGACTTGACTTCTGGCAGGTCTGCGTCATAATCGGGGGCAGACGGGTCAGGAACCCAGATCTCGGGATGGATCAATGCTAGGCGATTGAAGCCGGCATTACGCAGGGTGCGAATGTTCCATTCATCGTTGTTATACTCCGCAAAGACGAATTGTCGATCGAATTCAAGCCCGGTTGGTACGACGTTTGAGACTTGCAGCTCGACCGCACCACAGGATTTGAGCGGGTAACTGAACAGTGCTTTCACACGCCAGGATGGGCGAGCGTGATCATCTTGATCGCTGGGTACACCATGGCTGTACTTTGAGTCGAACTCATCGTCCAGATTGCTCTGCCCTGGCGGAAGTCCGAGGCGGCGGCATCCTTTCGGATTGACCGGTGCATTCAGTGTCTTCAGTGCTTTCAGAAGAAAAAGTACAGAGAGAAAGAATATAATAATCAAATTCGGGAGAATACCCCCGAGGGAAATGTCGACATTGGACATAGGGAGTATGCAGAACTCGAGATCGATCGAAGGAAAAATTTCCCGATTTCGGATCTCCGAACCGTCAACAATCCCACTGCCCAGCTTATGATGGCATTTTCAATGTCATTTTTAGAATGAGATTGATTACATTAGAGCTTGAATTTATTTCCTTTTCTTCCTTCTACTTTGAATTGGCTTTGCTGCCAGCCATCCTGATGCGCCCATGAGCACCAACATGGACCTTCTCGGTCTCGACGGTCTCGAAGGGTTTGACGATGAAGACACGCGTAAGTAATTTCTCCAAATGCCCTATAAAAACACAAAGATTAAACTATGCCCCAGTGCCCGTGATCTCGATCTCAGCATCGCAGTCCCTCAACGCGTCGGCCGCTACCCGCGACCCGATCGCGACGGGTCTGGCGCGTCTAGACGAAGTTCTAAATGACCTCCCAGACCAGCCCAATCAAGGCGGAATCCTGCGTGGACATGTTACAGAAATATTCGGACCCCCAGGAGCCGGGAAGACCTCGCTGGCGTGAGCGCACCTCATATCCACACCGCTAGAGTCCCATCTGATCCATTTACAGATTGAATATTGCATGTAATGCATTACGCGACGGCAAAGTAGTCTGGATTGGTATGTTCCTGCCAGTTCCCCGAGTCAGCTGCGCTGTCCTACTCACACCGTTAGATACGGGATGTCCCTTGCCCAGTCCCCGACTCGAGGAAATGTCCGTCAACCTCGATGACTTTATCTATTTCCGGGCGCATACGCTGCCCCATCTTATAGCCCTGCTTGCACGTCCACCCAAAGGGTTTCCACCGTCGGAAACAAACCTTATTGTTGTTGACTCTGTGTCGAATTTATTCCCAGCTTACTTCCCCAGCGCCCAAGAGCTCAAGGACCAGCTCGCTGAGGGCAAGATCACCGATAAAGCACACCTGCAATGGTTGCTGAATCGCAAATGGAACGTTGCTAGCGAGCTAGCTACGCATCTGGCCAAACTCGCCGCGAGAAATATCGCCGTGTTGGCAATTAACCAATCCCATACAAAGATCAAGGGTCAGTCTCATGCGGGTTTGCAGCCGCTCTTGTCGGGCAGCGCGTGGGAAGCCAGCGTACAGACTCGCATTGCGGTCTATCGTGACCTGCCAGATGAGCGAGTCGCGGAGGTTGAGAAGCGCGCGGGTAAGCCATTGCCCGAGCAAGCCGAGGGACTGCTCGTTGCGTTTCGCATTGAACCGGTATGTCAATGTCTCTGGTCTGCTGCATGCGATTGTGCTTCTAATCTGTCTAGGATGGTCTTTCCGAAATAGAGAGAAAGGAGTCTCTTCCCTCCGAGCCTTTGACCCCCTTGCTGAAGTCTCCCGACTTTGAGTACTATGATCCTCCTACTCCGACCCCTTCGCCTATATCCTCTGTGCTATCTTCTGCGCCACCATCTCCGGAAATGGAGTCTCCAAAACTGCCACCGTCTAAGCCAGCGTCACCAGAACGGCCTGTGCAGACATTAAACAAGAAACGGAAAGTGGAGGAGGTAGCTGACAGCCAGGATGAAGACTCCGAGGAAGATGTCCCCTGGACAGGCGAGACAACCCTGAACATCTGAACACGAATCAATTGTGAAATCATATAATTAGAACAATTTTGATCCTTTCGGCATCATAAGGTGATAGTAGAGAATACTTGTCTTTTTCATATCTTTGTTAATATCTCAATAGGATCTACATGTATCTATTTTTGGGATTTGAACACTTCTATACCCAAAGATAAAAATAAAATCAATCCTTCCAATTCCCACATGTTTAGTAGTATTAAGATTAAAATTAATATCGGACTTGGCCCCCAACTCCGATGCCGGATGTTGAATTTATCCCCATTATCCCCCAAGGGTTACCCCAGACTCTGCCCCTGGAGTAAACACCCTACACCCTGTCGATACAAGGCTTCTTTCGTTTGTTTCTCTTTCATTCGTTCAGACAAGTCCAAAATTTGATCTGCACAGAGCATTGATACTTTCTGGCCTTGTACGACCAGATCATATCCCACACTACGTTCGAATCTTTTCGCCCTTTTCACCTGTTTCTTCTCTCATTTCCCCAACAAAAATTCTTTCATACCCCCCGTTTGTTCATAAGAATATGTGGATGTACCAAACAGGGTGAACCAGACTCCCTGCTCGAGTCCGGTCGCTCATATAACTCCTCCCAAAGCCCGAATGAGTCCCTTCTTCGACCATGTCCAACGTTCCCCAGGACATGCTGGATGGGATATCAGGTGCCCTCGCGAAAGAGGGTGAAGTGTTACAGTTGATCCTCGTCGCTTTCATCGGTCTATCATGCTACAATGTCGTCGAGCTAGTTGTACTGGTCCCAGCCACATTCCGCAGGTGGCGTGGGCTCTATTTCTGGTCCCTGCTGGTCACGGGAGTCCTCGGTATTGTACCATACTCAATTGGCTTCTTGATGAAGTTCTTTACTCACACCGACTCCGTGTTGTCGGTCACTGTCTTGACCATCGGCTGGTGGACGATGGTTACTGGTCAATCTGTGGTGCTGTACTCACGACTCCACCTTGTGCTACGAGATGAGCGCATGCTGCGCCGTGTGTTGCAGCTCATCGTCGCAAATGTCCTTCTTCTGCATGTACCCACAACAATCCTCACTTATGGCGCGAACATAGTCCACAGCGGCGAGGCCGCCTGGGTGAATGGGTACAATGTCATGGAGAAGATCCAGCTGACCGGGTTCACAATCCAAGAGAGTCTGCTGTCAACGCTGTATGTGATTGAGACGGTTAAGCTTCTCCGTCTTGGGGCGGATGTGACTTCGCGCCCGGATGCCCGGACCATCATGTATCAGCTGATCGGGATCAACTGCGCGATCATAGCGATGGATGTGCTGCTTTTGGGTCTGGAATACGCCGATTATTACGCCGTGCAAATCACCCTGAAGGGATTTGTGTACTCGCTCAAACTCAAGCTCGAGTTCGCTGTACTTGGTCGCCTGGTAGATCTCATCCAGGGGTCCAGACATCCTATTTCTATCGCGATTGCCGATACATTGCCTCTTTGCTCGATTCAGAGGCCGCCCGAGACGCCGGATCAAAGTGAGGATACGCCTTATGATCAGGCTGAGCCGAAGGACTTTTTGTCTCCGCCGGATGGAGGCCGAGTTATTCAGAGGAGGATGTTTATGGAGTCTAGGAGGCCGTCTCCATTAGCAACATGACGGCGTACAATAGAATAATGATAATGTCAAAGCAAGATTGGAACTGAATTTTTGGAGTGTTCAAGCCGTACAGGACAGCCCGTGTAAGTGGACAATTGTAAGAAACGAAAATAAATTCGAAATCAGGGGTGGCTCGGACCATCTAGCGCTTTGATGCGTCCTAATTTAGTCATTAAGATATAGATGACATCAAGTATACCATTAGGTAGGTAGCCGTCTGTGGGTGGCCATGCGATTTGTAATGTGAAAATGTCAATGCCAGACAAAAAGGAAATGTTTCATTCGAGACTACATGAATTATGTGCTCTCGTTCATAGATTGGTCAGGTAGTCCTCGATCTGCTCCTTGGTCAACTTGCGGAACCGGGGTCCCTGAGCACCCTCCACTCCCTCGAAGCCCAGCAGGTGGTCCGCCGGGGGCCCGACGATGCCTGGAACGGTGTTAGTCAATGTTCACCAGGCTCTTGGACAGCCAAGCAGCTAGAATGAGGGGGAACCGGGCAGAAACCCAAAAACTTACCAATTTCTATTGTGTCACCATTCATCTCACCCTCAATAGTCTCCTTGAGTGTCAACAGCGCAATATGAATGGCGTCTTCCAATTCTAGTCCTTCAGTGTACCGCTTCTCGAGGAAGGTCTTGGCGCTCGTTGCGTGTTTGCCAATGGCCGTCGCCTTCCACGGGTAGTAGCTGCCACTGGGGTCGACCTGGTACAGACTGGGACCACCCTTCTGGATACCGCCAGTCTTGCTGGAGATCTTCTCCTCGGGGTCATCCTTTTTAGCCTCTTCAGACTCAGGCTCAACGCCCTCGTCCCAGCCTGCGACCAACAGACTAACACCGTACGGCCGCACACCACCGGATTGCGTAGCTTCTTGCACTACTCGGGCGACATCCTGAACCAATATACGAGTGGGTGGGTATTCGTTGTAGATGCGCTTGTAGCCTGTGTGCGAGACCTTGCGGGCCTTGTCGACTAGCACCCGGTAATCGGGGCCCATGCCGGCGTAGACCATACCGATATCCGGCGTGATCAGTGAGATCTTGGATAGGGAGGGAGGGTCGATCAGAGGCGAGGAGGACTTCTTCTCAGTTGCGAGCACAATGCCGTTCGTAGCTATCACGGGGTGGTCAGCTTGGCCCTATGGGGGTGAATTCGGGCATTTGCTTACCTTTGATACCAAGAGCAGTCACACCCTGGTTGACAGCGTTCAAGGCATATTCTATATTGATCAGCCATCGATACCTAAGCTTAAAGACGATGGTCCATACCAATTTGCACCAGCTTTCCGCTGTAATGGAGCTGAGTTAGCACGCTGTCAATTCCATAGGACCGAGTTATCCTTACCTGGGGGAGAATGTAGTCAAGGAGAATGAGTATCGGTCCGCCATGATTCGCTGTCAAGAGGAAGAGAAGAGGAGAGGATGGGAAGATCAAAGGAAGGGGAGCTGTGTTGTAGGCAGAGATGGGTGACGTTTGGCGCGGTAGAGCTCACTAAAGGCGGTGACCCGATTGGGATTAGCCGTGGGGTTTGGGACACCTTGGGCTTTTCTGCTTTTCTTCTTGTCGTTCTCTCTTTTTTTTACACCCCAAAAAAAGAAACAGTAATTCTCTCTCGGCCTTCTCTTGTCAAGGTTCGAGCAAATCTCGATGTGAGACTAAATGGAAGACACACAGCATTACCCTCCACGGGTCTGTCGCATCTGCCTAGAAAGCGTGCTGCCTACTTTCCAACCCTCAGAATTCCTCCAGAAGCCTCGAGTGGTTTATGAATCCTCCGATCCAGAATCTGGCCGTCTGCTGAGCCCTTGTCAATGCAAAGGATCCTCGCGTTATGTCCACGAGGGCTGCCTGCAGTCATGGCGCCATGCCGACCCCAAATATGGGACGAGAAACTTCTGGCAATGTCCCACCTGTGGCTTCCAGTATCGCCTAGAGCGTCTGACTTGGGCTCGGTGGATCAGTAGCGCCACTACCCAGCTAATACTCACACTCGGCATTCTTTTGTTAACCGTATTCCTGCTTGGATTCATTGCTGACCCCATCATTGATTTTTACTTGGGCCCCGTGGATGCTTATGCCGAATTGCTCGAGGAAGATGCCACCTGGTTGGGACACTTCGTCAAAGGACTCGCGTCTTTGGGTCTGTTGTCATTCCTCAAGGCAATATTTGCGCTGTCGCCTTTTCCTTGGAACCTCCGGTCTGTCGCATCAGGGCGGAATTCGGGCCGTAACCGAGCCGCCCAGTTGAACTGGCTAGTGGTCATGGTTGGCATCGGTACTTTCCTTTGGGTATGTGTGGTCACATTTGACTATATCTGACTTGGCGCTAACCGCAGATAGGCTGTCTACAAAGGTGTTCGGTCATGGAGTAGACGAACGCTAGAAAAGGCTAGCGAACGGGTCATAGATGTCCCATTACCAGATGATGAGAGTAATGAGGACATCCCAGTACCGGAAGCTGGAATGAAGGAAGAATAGTTCAAACAATGAACTCGCACTACTTAAGTTGCCGTCCTCCTCTGCCCCATGAGACGTCGATTAGTCAATGTGCGAAGAACAATAACTGCCTTCAATAACTCTTGATTGTCTGCCTGAGAAGTAGATGATTGGCTCGAGAACGTCTTGTTCTCAGGTCATTCGCTGCTTCACCAATCGGGCAGCGTTCTTGGGGAAGGCAGTCCACCACTCAATTGTAAAGAAGCGTTCTGACCCCGAGTCTGACTTATTAGCGCTTTTGGATTGAGCAGCGGTAAATTCATGTATCATATTTCCTATTCTGTCTATCATACTTCCTATTCAGTCCTATTGTCATATTGCCTATTGTTCATTGTCCATTGTCAATTATCTATTGTCACGCGCGTCTCTTCAATAACCTCAATGCAGTCATATGGCAGCAGTCTATATCTTAACCAGCCTTCCTCTCTCTCTCCCTCTTCTTCTCTCTTCTATCCTTCATTGCTCTCTTCTTCGCTGTTCTCTTCTTCTCGTGTAATTCAAGTTTCTGATCTTAGCAAAATGGACGATCTTCCAGCAGACCCTCAAGTCGCAATCGACTGTGAATCGGACGAGTCTCGATCCACCACTTCTACCAACGCAGATACATCCGACACTGAGCCATTCCCTGATTATGACGAGTCCGAGTGTGAGATGCTTGCATCTACCATCGCAGCTGAGAAACGCCTTGAGGAAGCATGGATCTACGCTCTCGGCAAAGCCGCCCAGGAAGAGATCCGCATGCTCCGTGTCGACCCTAACATTATTCCTTACCCATCTCAGCGCAGCCAGGTCATCCTCGGACAGCTGCAAGATCTCCTATCCGAACCGCAATTGCGCCTTGAGCTCCGCGAGCAATTTATCACTATCATCAACGCCACCATCAGACTCAACATCGTCATTTCCCACCAAAGTTCGGAGTTTCTAGCTCCCCGAGAAATCAAGGACTCGAGACGTCCCCTCGACACCATCTTGAAGCACGTCAAATTCATGGAAGACATGCTCAAAGACCAGCTGCAGACTGCCGAAAAGGTTTCTCTCGTCCTGAAGGATGTCTCCAAGGAGGATGTGCTTCCCTTTGAGCGGCTTCGCAAAATGGCCTCTGTGGTGGCTAAGTAAGTACCAATACCCTTGTTTCTTGCCTACCCTCTGCTTCAGCACAAATACTCAGTGAATAGGAATATGAAAAAGCCCCGTTACCTTGAACAACGACTGCTCGCTTTGTACATGGACATGTACGAGGAATGGGTCCGCGTTCCTTTCCTTCGCTTGCGCAAGCCTCAACTCCTGGACGAGCAATTCCCAAACTTCCCACGCACCAAGATTTTCCGCCATGTCCTTGTCGTCTGGGAGGCGATCCACCGCTGCACCGACTCCTACGATGCCTTGACCCGAGTCACCCAAGAAATCAAACGAAAGTACTTTGCGCCATCCATGGGCTATCTTTGCGATTCGCCAGAGATCTGGAAGCAATGCTGGGAACGATACCAGACATTTGAGAAGGATCAGCCCAAGCCAGGCGAGCATGATTTCTCTGAATGTATCCCCAACTGAACGATGGAAGAGCCACTTGACCCCATGGGCTATCTTCTCCACATCTACGACAACACGATTCTACGACTTGCTTTACTGTGTCCAATACCCTATATGCAAAGTTTCGAATATCAACACAAACCAATAGCGAAATTCAATGTGAAAATTCCATTCTAACCTATCTCCCCCGTAATCTCAAGCCGTACTATCCTTATAATCCCCAAGCTTAAATAACTTCTTCGCATTCTCCCTTCCAATCTTCAACCGATCCGTATTCGACATCTCCGCCGAATCAAACCACTCACACGCATCCCCAAACGTCTCAAACGGATAATCAATCGAGAACAAAATCCGATCAGCCCCAACCTCCGCCATACAAAAGTGCAATGTAGTAGTCGAGAAATGCCCCGACGTCGTAATCCACAAATTATCCGCAAAGTACTCCCGAATTGTCCGCTTACACGTCTCCGCAAGTCCAAGCATCTTCTTCCGATCCTCGAACCAGTGGTTAATCCGCCACATATCAAACGGTATATGTTCTCCCAAATGTCCAAGGATAACCTGTAGCTTCGGGTTCCGATCAAATACCCCGTTCGTCACCATACCAAGAACATGGAGACTGACACCGTGCGCGAATGACAGCGGGGGTCCAATTAGCCATTTCCGATCTGCCCAGAGCTTCTCGTAGATCGTGCCTGTCGGGTTGCGAGGGTGTAGGTATAGCGGAACGTCGAGCTCAGTGCATGTAGCCCAGAATACGTCCCATTTCTCGTTGTCGTAGAAGATCATGTCGTCGCCGTCCACGCCTGCGCGCTGTGTGTCGTTCACGAGTGCACCTAGGAATCCGTGTTGTGTGACGCAGCGGCGGAGCTCGTCTGCTGCTTCTTGTGGGTCGTGCATGGAGAGTGTGCTGGGGTGAGTTAGCTGGATGTATACATGTCGATCATGGGATGTATTGGTGCAACTTACGCAAATGCAGCAAACCGATCTGGGTGTGCTTTCACTTTCTCTGCGATGTAATCGTTGATCTCAACAGCGAGAGCTTGTGCGTCCTTTGCATCCCAGATATCTTGTACGCCAGGTGCTGTGTAGCTGAGGATCTGAAGACCGACGCCGTGACGTTCAGCGAAGTCGAGACGGATTGGTCCGACGTCGTTGATCTCTGCTGTGTGCTTCTCTGTATCGGTGGCGAACATGCCTGCCCACCATTTTGTCTTTTCGTGGAATCGGGGAAGCGCAAAGGCTTCTTCGAGGGCGATTTTGCCGAGCATTTTGATGTAGTAACTTTGGAATGAATAAGAATGGAAGATAGAAACAATTCGTATAATTCTCAGCTGCTTTATAGTATATGCGGGGACCCCGCAGTTCGGAAGGTCGGATGTAAACCCCCTGGGAAGGAAATCATCCGATGGCGGTTCGCTGTCGGGACGGATACGGACAGCGGTTGACAACGGAGATGGGTATTATCGGTTTTCTATACAGTCTACATTACGTCTACATACTAACTCTAGTCACATGTCGCAGTCCAATGCCATGAGTAGGTGGATCACGTTTAGATTGAACGATCTGAATCGCTTCTTCATCGATCAGGCCTTTGGCAACTAGATTGCGAACATACTCCATTGTCCATTCTTGACACCGCTTGTTGGTAGTCTGGAAATTCGAGGGTATAAGCTTCATCCAGACCTTACAATGTATCTCCAGTAGATTTCATATTACTCACATCGTTGACAGGTGCCATGAAGTTCTGATTGATCCCCGGAGTCGGGATTTGGGTTGCCGCTAGTTCGATCTTCCCTCGGGGAATGGAGTCGATAGATGGAGCCGCATCTGGGGTATCAACGATGTCGGACGAGTGTATCTGACCGATTGGAAAGGTCTGGTCGTGAGGATCGAGACTGGGATTGTAATTTCGTTTGAACTCCAGGACATAGCCTGCCATCGGCGCGCCAACTGCGTGGATTTTGGTTCCCCGGTCGGGATTGGTAGCTGATGGGACAAAGATGGAGAAGTGGGCTCTTTGGAACGATGTATTGCGAGCAGAGATGAGATAGACTGTTCTTGTAGCCATTGTAGTGTATTTTGTACAGATGAAAATATTAAATGTGAGATGGTCGAGAGCTAACTAACAGTCATGTGGGTAACCGCTCTAGGTAACCCAACCTTAGGCTTGACAGGAATGTGAGTATATTTTAGTTCAAACAGTCGAATAATTTAAAAATAACTAGAAGTAATTGTTTCATTCAGACGCTCGCTAATAAACGCTGTGGCATCGGCTCTGAGAAAAGAAAAGCATCCGAGTTTCTTACTTCGCAATAAACTTGATTCCGCATTCCTCCTTCGGTCGACAAGTAGCAGAGTCATTCCAATCAGGCAGAGGAAGACGGTTCATCCGTTTGCCCTGCCAATCAACCACCGTAATATCAAACCTCATCAAAGCTTGAACAACCACAAGTTTCAAGCTCAACGTAGCAAGTCGCTGGCCTTTACAAGCGTGCTTTCCACCACCCCAGCCAATAAACGGTGTTTCTGTTTCAATCACCCGAGACGGGTCCCAACGAGTTGAGTCAGAGTAGTACTTTGAGTTGAGTGCTGTATCCGAAAATGGATACACAACAAGAGATCCCGAGGGGATAACGTATGACCCGATAGTAAGATCTGGACCGGTGTTCTTTCGCACTGCTGTGTATGGCTGTGAAGTGCGCAGAGTTTCGCGTATACATAGGTCGAGATTGGGTGTTTGAGATTCCCAGGCTGTGAGTGGAATTTCCGAGAGGGCTTGGGTGAGGGCGTCCCCAGAGAGAGAGGCGGATGGGGATGTGTGAGTGGATATGAAGGTCTTGATCTCCTCTTGAACAGTCGAGAGCCAGGTTGGGTCCGAGGAGATGTGCATGATCAGCCATGTGACTGGAGGGGATAACTGTCAGTGTTGTCATATTTGGTGTTGCTGAATATCCAACTTACCGATTGTTCCAGTAGCCCGGGCTCCTGCTAGTGATAGCCCTAGCACGCACTTCAGAGAGAGTCAGATTCCGGATCAAAAGAGTTGAATAGAAAAGAAGTAAGAATACGTACCCCGAAGATTCGAATCGTGCTGTCTCCATCATCAAGCATCTGCTGCAGCATGTCATCCTTCTTGATTCCGCTCCTCTTCCTGGCGTCAATGCCCGCTTGCACAATTCTGTAAATTTGAACAGAGGCGAAGAACTTGTGGAACAAGGCCGGGCCAGGTAACCAAGGGAGCCAAGTGGAGTATGGGTTAGTGATGGAGTCGACAGTGTCGACAAGTGACTTGAGACGCGCTGAAAGCACTGGATCGTTGGCAATATCAAAGGAAGCAATGCGCATAACCAGTTGAAAAGTGACCTAGGGAGAGAACAAGATGTCTTAGCTTCCCATATACTGAACAAAGAACTCAGATCCACGCACCTCGTGAAGGGAAGAGCAGGGGTCGAGAATACGCTCGCTACCCCATGCGTCCATCTTACGCTGGCATTCTGACAGGATCAATGGAATCACTGCATGTGTATTAGTGAATATTCTCTATCACAAAGGGTGTAGACTCACATTTCTGGAGGTTATCAGGTCGTTGAATTGAAGCCATTCGTCTGACTACGCCGTCGACTTGGTGAGGGTCGAATTGGGCAGCGCTCTAGATACGAGAATTAGTTACAACTGAGGTCAAAATCAATTGTCAGGGAACTTACACTGCCCATCATGATTGAAAACGTATCATATAGACAGAGACCCTTCTCCTTAAAGAAGATTTGTCGACCTTCATCTCCAGATAGAACAATGGCGTTATGTCGGAAGAGCCTGGTCTGATAGATGGCCGATGATGTAGCCCTGAAGCCATCTTTGATGAAATCAAATCTCTTCTCAAAGAAGAACTGGGAAACCTTCCAGCTAGGCAATTGCAAGCTCGGAGGGGCATGGCTCTTTCGGGGTGAAGCTGTCACCGGCACATATAGTACTTTGAAGAGCAAGGCAGACAGCAGAAGAATCACTGAGGTCAAGCCACCCAGATCTCGAAGAGTAGATGACGAGTCATTGCACGAAGCAAAGACCAGCCGAGTGAGAGTGCTTTGCAGCATTGTGAAGAAATGTGTCAGAAGGAAGTGTGTCAGAAGGAAGTGAGTGTAGAAGTGCAAGTGAACATGATAGTTCCAAGTCTTTATACCCCGAAAGAATAGCCCCCGACTCGGGGGGAATTGAATGACGAGAAAACATATACTCCTGCCGAAGATCAATTCTACCGAGCCAAAGAGCTAAAGGGCCAAGTCTCCATTACTCCTTCCATTTGCCCTAATGCCCGAGGGTTCAACCAGATCGAGTCTACTGCGCCATGATTCACACCTTTCAGGGCTGACCCACGCACATGGGAACTACCCTATCCAGTAAGTCTTACTCTATATTAGAAATTAGTTCTTGAAGCCGCTGTTGGTTTTTGTCGTGCATGTCAGCATTAGCGCGATGCATACCGGAATTTAGATTAAAGCGGCCTCAGGCGGGCCGTTACCGCCAAATCAGGGTTGAGGCTTATACAATTTATTTTTGTCCATAGAGCCGTGGAGGGTTACTTTATTCAGAGTAGTTCATGATCCAAGTTCTGATGCCTCGGGGTCAAGACCTCATTAGGTTAGGTCAGGCATCCAGGTTAGAAGCGTACTGACAAATTGGATCTCACCTGAGACTCTCAGTTCTTCACGTCGTTTTTGGTATAATATTACTAGATCCTAAAATAGATGCCTTTTGGAGAGCCAATTACGTTGTGTCCATAAAAATTCACGGGATGCTGAGATTAATGTACGCATTAGGACTGTCTCAATTATAGAAATTGTGGGGGTTACAAGGTTGAGTGATGGAATGCCAGGTCTTTGCCTTAGTCTTTCAGGGTAGTTATGCGAACCTGTATTTTCTCGAAGATGCATTATTCCTGACTCTTTCCTAATTAGGGCTCTTCTACGGTGATTCCGACCCCGAAAGCCGTGGCCCACGTCCAATTTAAATCTCATTTTTAT